AGGGAGCACGTCGGGGGGGAGCACGTCGGAGCGAGAATCTCCATGGGAAACACGCCGAGGGTGGCAGAGCTGCAGCCCGACGAGAGAAAACACTGCGCGAGCAGAAGCAAAAGCGCTCGCCACCAACAGCCGCAGCGCAGAAGCAGCCGACGCAACATGCAGTTCAAACACGTCCGGAACTTGCGGATGCGGCGGCCTCTTGCGCGGTCACAGGATTAGCGGCGAGCCGGGGGGGAAGTGAGAAAAGGCGAACCTTCTCAGAAGGCTCGGAAGACCCCCGGCCTTCTGAGAAATGTCTTAAGCCTTCCCCGAAGACACGGAAAACCTCTCAGAAGGCCAGAGGCCTTCTGAGAAGCCCCGCCGCCTCCTGAGAGGGCCTTCTCCTTCTCACTTTCCCCCCTCGCTTACCGTCGACAGGAGGATTGCGAGGATGCGGAGAAAGATGAAGGGGCCCTGGGACACGCAAATAAATGCACACACATAACAGGATTCCCCATATTTTCGCATACCTTCTAAATTGTTGTCTTCCCCCCACTTCCCGTATTTTCCCATATTTTCTGGGGAACCGACGATTCATTGTGTCTGTGTTTTTTTTTTATCCTCCTGAAGAGATCAGGAAACTCGGAGGACAGGAATGCGCAGGCGGGAGAGCCGGCAGCGCCAGCAGGAGCCAAGGGGGGAGGCCTGGGGAGAGCAGGAGAAGGAGGCCGAGGGCAGGGAGGGGCGGGCGAGCAGAACGAGGTCGGGCGAGGGCGGAGGAGCCCTGTCCCTCTACAAAGGGAATATTCAAAAATAGCAAAAAAGTGTCGGGAGGCGTTTTTTGGGGGTCTTTGTTTCGAACATTTGGGGGTCGTTTTGAAGTATTTGTCATTTTTCGGTCAAAAACTCCCTGTAGGGGGACAGGCCCGACTTCAGGGTACGGTCAGGAAGGTGCGGTGCAAGAGTAGGGGGCCACATGCGAACCCTACCCCCACCCCCCCCACCACTTCTGAGGGGGAGGGTGGGGTTCACTTCGCTCGAGAGCTCCCGAACGGAATGAACCCCACCCTCCCCCTCAGAAATCGCGGGTGGCTGGGGCAGGGTGCGCATGTGGCCCCCTAGGAGAGGGAGGGGATGGGGAGGGGGGGGGGAGGGGAGGCCCGCGGGGGAGGGAGGAGGAAGCAGCAGAGGGAAAGCGTGGCCCGCGCGGAGCGGGCCGCCGAGCACTCAGCCGCTGCTCTTGCCCATCGCCGGCGGCCACGTGTCCTGAGCCAAAGAGCCCACACAGGACGTGCGCGCCCAACCACGTGCATGAATACGGCCCCCCAATCCGCGAGACCAGTCTCGTGATAGAAGGTTCACACGCAATGCGTACTTCCGAAACCGACGTAGACTCGTGCACGTGTAGTTGCAATCAGCCCGTAGAGTAAGGATGTGCAGGAAGGATGCAAGGGCCTCAGACGCCCATGCCGAGGCTCTTCGAGCGGGCCTGGCCATCGAAAGTGGCTGAGGATGGACCGAAGATGACCGAAGAGGCAAGGATGCAAAAGGGTACCCTTGGGAAGTCCCTCGTCCTCCTCCTCCTCCTCCTCCTCCTGAGGAACAGCTGGGGGGAGGGGGGGAGGGGACAGCCTCGGGCACACGGACAGGGGGTGGGGCTCCTCTGCGACCCTCCGCCCTCGTCTGCCTCCCGTTCCCCAACGGGCTCCCTCCTCTGCCTTCTCTCCTCCAATTTCCCTCCTCGCGTCCGTTGGACAAGGCTTCCCCCAAGGCCCCACAGACCAACGAAGACGGCTGCAACGGGGGAGGTCAAAACGTACCGCCACCAACTCCTACTCCTGTCCTCTCGGCGTCAAGTGCCACCCGCACTGATTCCATCCTCGCTCTTCCCTTTCCACCCTCCCCTAGCCACTGCGCCGCGCCCCCCTCCTGCTCTTGCTCCTCCTCCTGCTGCTCTTCATGATTCCCGGAGACCTTGTCTGACTCGAGGCTCCAGAGCCCCCCTGGTCTTTCCGACTTCCGACCCCTGGCCAGCTGGGCCCTTTCCCCCGAAGCCGACCTTCTTTCGCCCTGCTGAGCCCTTCTGCTTCATGTACTGCCACGCCAGCACCAGCACCATCGTCACCAACACGATGGGAACTTTCCCGAAATTTGCAATGAAGTCGTCTGCTGGAGGCGGAGTGTAGGCTGCCATCAGCAGCTCCATAACCTCCACCTTGCCGCGGGTGATCATGTACGGCGGATTCGTGTCGTCACGACTTCGGCGCTGTTCCCTGACACCGCGTGGATCGTTCAATATCTATTGATCCCACTGTCGGCATTGAACCTTGAACGCCCGCGACGGGGTCGCCGCCAAGTCGGCACGACACGAACCTAACCGTATGTATGTTCCCAGCGAGAGCGGAACCGCGTTCTCCCAGCGAGACAGGCCCCAACCAGAAAGAGCTGACTCAACCCTTGATCCTCTCAAGCGTTAGGCCTCCTATAAACGACCACCCTCCAGCGCGAAATAAATAACGTTGAACGAGTGCCCGTTTGGAGTGGAGGACGCTTTCTCAAGCACGTCACCGAATTAGTTCGCCCCGCCCAGGGACGGCCCTCACGGCAGCGAAGCTTTCAGCTTGAACACGTCTCACGCCATTTCGAGGGCCAGAGCTACTCATGGATCAGCGTGAAGCCAGCTTGGACGATCAAGGTTCTGAACTCGCCATACTCACATGATCAACGCGCGACCACGTGTCAACGAATACCTCCATCAAAAGCACGCCCAAGGCAGACTTCGAGCAATCCCGTGGTCCTCGTTTCTCGGAGCGAGGGAGGAGGTGAAAGGGGAGACGGGGTGACGTGGACTGGCTGTTGTCCAGATCTGGAAGGCCTGCCATGAAGTCGATACGTGCAGTGGAGGTGGAAGGGCCAGGGCTGGGCCGAGTGGCCGGGGCCCGGAGGAGAGCCCAAAACGTCCCACTAAATGCTGGCCCGGGCTGGAGAAGCGGCAGGAGAATCGGGCTGGGGCCCCTTTCTGCCTCGTCCGAGGAGTGCCGACCACCTCCCCTCGCGGGGAGGTGGTCGGCACTCCTCGGGGGAGGAAGAGGAGGAGGAGGAGGAGGAGGAGGAGGAGGAGGAGGAGGAGCTAAGCGAACCACTGCGGCGGGGTCTGGGGTAGGGCAACGAGGCTGGTACGTACCCGCCGCCCCTGGCCGAGCCCATCCTGGGCCCAGGAGCGGTCCCGACCTGGCCAGGGAGACGCGTACGCCGCTTCTGGGCCCAGCATGGGCAGGGGCAGGGGAATTTATGTAGTATAGATAGATAGATAGATAGATAGATAGATAGATAGATAGATAGATAGATAGATAGATAGATAGATAGATAGATAGATAGATAGATAGATAGATAGATAGATAGATAGATAGATAGATAGATAGATAGATGGATGGATATATAGATAGCTATATGGATAGATAGATATATAGATAGATAGATAGATAGATAGATAGATAGATAGATAGATAGATAGATAGATATATAGATAGATATATATATATATATAGATAGATATATAGATAGATAGATAGATAGATATCGCTCGCTTCGCGCGCGCTCAAGTTCTAGCTAGGCTTGATAGGCTAACTCATGTAATCTCATGTTGGTCGCTTCTTGCGTCCAGGGACTCCCTTGGAGGCCCTGCAAAAGCCTCGGGATCGTATAGAAGGGAAAGTGCGGAAACGCAGAAATCATTAATTCCCTTAAGGTATTCAACGATTTGGGGCCCTCGAAGGCTTCCTGGGTTCTTTTTGGGGAGGTGAGGGGGGTCTGAATTGTGCTCTGTTGTGCAAGAGTAGACCAGGGGCCAAACTAACAAAAAAACAAATAATTGTGGGATTTCATTTTTGTTGTCCAGTTCCTCGGCGCGGTTCGGCGTTGTCTTTTCTTTGTGCCTCGCGGGTTTTGTTAGCTGGGCCCCTCAGGGGTGTGGGATCTTCCGGGCCCCCTGGGGGTTCTGGAGGCCTCCTGGAGGCCTGGAGAGCCGTCGGAAGGGTCTCGGGCTGCGCGGGAGCGTGTTGGGCCGTTCTTTACGTTCTGGGGGTTCCTTGGGGTCGTCTTGGGCTGTCCTTGGCGTTTGGGGGGCCCCCCGGGAAGCCGGGAGGCGCGGTACGGGCCAGATGTCAGGGGATGTGTGGGATCTCCGAGTAGGAGTCCCATTTTGAAAAAAATTGGAATTCTGGGAATTATTTTTTTGTATTAAAAAATCCTCGATCTTCGAGGGTTGGAAGCGGGAAAACGTGAGAAGGCGAAAAACATTAGAAAACCATTGGAAATCAACGATTTGACCCTCTCTGGGCTCTCTCGGGACGGCTCTCGTAGCTCTCTTGGGCTGTTCTTGGAGCCTCGTCGGGGTCCTTTTGGGGCCTCTCAGGGATCGGGGGTGTGTTGGGGGCCTCTGGGGGATCCCGGAGGCCTCTCGGAGGTCTTTGGAAGCCCTTCTGGCCCGTCTTGGGGCCGTCCTGAGGGTCTCTTTTTTTTTTTTTTTGTTGCTTCTTCTTTCTTTCTTACCCCAATTGCACTAACATACATGTCACATTGGCTCGTGCCAGACAATGTGAGTCCTGCTCATGTGGCTGCGAGGAAACACGGAGAGGGTGTAAACCATGACGGCGCTTGCAGAATTGGACGAGCAACCTCCCAGTGCAACTCCTGCATCACCTGTCGGGAACAACGTGTGTCTCCACGGGTGGTTGCGCAGTCGCCGAATGTCGGCATACGTTGTCATGCGATGCGCTGCCAATGTGAATGTGCAACCTTATCTTCGGCGTGTCACGTCAGTGGGTCGAGGACCAACGTGTGCCCAAGTTCAGCTCTCGCCAGTCAGTCCTCTTTGGTGAAGTCCTCTTTGATCTGCGCCATCCTGTGTGTAAGGGAAGTCGATCCAGAACCCGATGATCGTGATGAAACCCAGCTGGGCAGCCGTTTCAATTTCGGGGTGCGACTCCCTGCCGCACGGGGGCTGCGTGCCTCATTGATTTTTTCGTTTTCTGTCTTTACCGCATTCGGATCGTGTCTCTCCTGGAGCTGACAGAACCATACGTGCCAACATGTCCAGCACACCGAGGCCGAGAACCCCAGAAAATCTTCCATTTCCTCCATCGCCACTTTCGGAGGATCGGACATCTGCTTCCACAGCCAAAAAACGACGGCGCTCTCCATCGTGACAACGAAAATAACACCGATGGAAACAAGCACATACTGGTCAATAAAAGTTAGGTACGAGCACTTGGGCAAGACATCTCCTATCCAATTCTTGTACGAAATTGCAGCAAGCAGAAGGGTCGATAGATAGCTCAAGCGGTTTCCGAAGTCGCTGACTGGGAGTAGCAAAACAGGAAATGCAAGGAGCACCAACATCCACATCGGAAAATACACCTGCCAGAGGTAGAATCCTGGCCGTCGCGTCACCTTAAGGTAGAGTGTCAGCAAAGGATACGTTTTCCTCGTCGTTGAATGGTCAGCCAACGTTCTCTCGTTCTTCTCACGGACATCCTTTTGCATGATGTACTCGTCGTACAAAGTGAATCTGTCCTTATCATCTCCAGGAGCAACGCATGCGTACTCATCAGTGTGATTCATCTTCAAAGTAACGTTCGTCTTCCCAGAAAGATGCTCTGACTGCGTGGGCAGGTCGACACATGGATGCAATGACACAATTTGTATTTGCAGGTCCTGTGAGTCAAATGGAAACTCGTACAGCTCGAACCTTTCGCGGAATACACCAGTGGCCCTCATGCGGTAGCAGACCACAGGAGTGGGCAGGAGTTCCATGTCGGCGCGGTCTCTTTTGTAGACAACATACCATTCCTCCTTATCCTTGAGCTCCAGGACATTGTAAAAATGAAGCATCGGGGTCCACCGGCCATGTGTTGACTGGCCCTTGACAGGAAATTGCGGAGCCCACTCTCCAACGTCCAACGCATCCTCATCTTTCATGCTCTCGTCGAGCCAGGATGCCTCCAGGAAGAAGTTGCAAGTGAAACGGCTCGCCGATATCGTTATCTCTGGAACATCGAAGACCGTGAGGCGCACCCGCACTTCCGTCGTCGCCTCCGAGAGCGCATCGGGCCCACCACCGACAGAGATCACACCCGGAAGCCTGAGTGTCTCATCGCTTCCCGCAGGCGCCATGCCGCGGCCCCGCCCGCCTCGCCCGCGCTGCCGCCGCCCATCGGGTGCCGCGGGCCTCCGGGAGCCCCCCTTCTTGAGCCAAAATGGCTACGGAGGGCCGTCCTGAGGGTCTCTTGGGTGGTCTTGGGGCGGTCTTGGGCGGCTCTTCGGCGTTCTTGGAGCGTCGGAAGCTCGAAAACGCGAGAAGCCAACAACATGAAAAAAAACTATGAAAGTCGACGATTTTGGCCTCTTCGGGCCATCCCGGGACGCCTCTCGGACCTCTCTTGGGGTCTCTTGGAGGCCACCTGGGAGCCTCGAGAGCCGTCGGAAGGCTGACTTGGGCTGTTTGAGAGCGTCTTGTATCATCCTTTCGCATTCTGGGGGCTCCTGGGAGGAGTCTTGGGCCCTCCTGGGGCGCTGTGAAGGCTCCCCAGAAAGGCAGGGGGAGCGGTACCGGGAGCGTCCCCGAGATGTTAAGGGGAAGTGTGGGACCCGGGGCCGGGGGGGGGGCGGTATTTATTTATTTATGCATGCATTCATTAGTTAGTATTATTAAGCATTACAAATGAAATGATATTACCAGTATTATCACCATTGTTATTATGATGATTATGATTATTACCAATATTAGTTTTATTAATACTATTATTATTATTATTATTATTATTATCAGCATTCGTATTCGTATACTAGTACTATCATTATTATTACTACTACTTTTCTTATACATATGTATACTAGAACCATAGCGCGCGCTACGCGCGCGCTTAAGTTCTAGCTAGGTTTGATGGGCGAACTCATGGATGTCGAGGAAGAGGATAGGGACGAGGAGTCCCAACTTCAAAAGAAAGGGGATCTCTGCAATTTCCATATCTGTTGTTGGCTCCTCGGCGCTGTTCGGCGCTGTTTTTAGGTCCTCGCGGGTTTTTGACTGGGCCCCTCAGGGATCTGGGGCCTTCTGGACCTCCTGGGGGTCCTGGAGGCCTCTCGGAGGCTTGATGGGGCGTCCTGCTCCCGCTCTTGGGCCCATCTTGGGCCCATCTTGGATCTTGGGCCTTTCCTGGAGTGCTCCAGCGTTGGACCCTGGAAAACGCAAGAAAACCAACAACCTCGAACAAATAATGAAAAGCAGCGATTTTGGTGTCTTCGGGGCGGCGGCCTTTCCCCGACTTCGAATGAATGAAGATGACTAGGATGTCGGATGGACAAGGAAATGTCGAGGAAGAGGATAGGGAGTAGGAGTCCCATCCTAAAAAGAGAATCTCTGGAATTCCATGTTAAAAAAGGTCCTCGGTCTTTGGGCGTTGGAAGCTGAAAAACGTGAGGAGGCGAAAAACGTAGAAAAAACAATGGAACTCAACGATTTTACCCTCTTCGAGCTCCCTCGGGACGACTCTCGAAGCTCTCTTGGGCTGTTTTGGAGGCCTTGACGGGCTGTTTGGGGGCCTCTCAAGGGTCTGGGGTGCGTTGGGGGCCTCTGAAGGTCCTGGAGGCCTCTCGGAGGCGGTCTTTGGGCGTGGGCGTGGGCGTGGGCGTGTGCGCGTGCGTGTGCGTGTGCGGTGTGCGTATGCGTGTGTCGGTGTGCGGTGTGCGGTGTGCGTGTGCCGGTGTGCGGTGTGCGTGTGCCGGTGTGCGGTGTGCGTTGTGCGGTGTGCGTTGTGCGTGTGTGCGTGTGCGTGTGCGCGTGCGTGTGTGGGTGTGTGTGCCCAGGGCCAGGTTCTCGCCGCTGCGGAGCGGATGGGGTGGCCCGGGGCCTTGCCGCCGTCCTCCGACAGGAAGGCCAGCAGGTTGCCCTGCTGGTGCCGCGCGCTCACGGCCCAGGAGCGCGCCGGCGGGCGCCTGCTGCGCCAGACCACCTCGGCTCGGCCGCTGGGGGCCGACGGCCAGACGGCGCGGAAGGGGAGAGGAGCGGAGCGGCGCGGCGCCGACGGCGTCCCATGGTAGGGGTTAACGGCGGGTGCGCCGGGGCGCCTCCGGTCTGAGCTCGGAGCTCGGCCGAGGCTGGAGCGGGGCTTCGTCAACGGGGGTGTAGCTGCACGGGGGCTCAGGCAGTTCCGTATACCCCCGTTGACTGTACCCCCGTCTGAGGCGCCCAGGCCCCCCCCAAACGGGAAAATAGCCGAACGTGGAAATCGGCGTTCCCCGTACCCCCGTTTGCTGTGCCCCCGGCTCTGGCACCCTGATCGGAACATAGGGAGCTGGATTCGGAAGGCCGGATATTACCGGCCTGGAACATATCCCTATCCCTATGCTGGGCACCTCCTCATCACGATGCCAATCTTAGGGATTCCCTTATTCTTTGAGGGCGGATCCCTAAGATTGTCATCGCCTTTTGGCGTGTCAATCTTAGGGATAGGGATACCGTTCGAGGCTGGTAAGGCTATGCCGACCTTGGCCAGGCCCATCCTGAGCCCAGGCGGGGCGAGGGCCGCGGGCGGAGTGGCGCGCCCTGGGCCGCGATGCAACGTTATAGGGGGGGCCGGCGCAGGGGGGGCGCGTCCAGCTTGAATCGGCGATGGGTCGCCCACTGGCCATCGCTCGGACGTCCATTCCCTCTGCTTTTTTCGGCTTCGTGCGTGGTTTTTTCGCCAAATGATCAAGGATGCTCCTCGATGGCCCTCGCCGAACGAAAAATACACACGTCCGAGCGATGCCAAGCCCATGGATCGGCGCTGGGCCCCCCGAAGCGCAGCCGCGCGTCTCTGGGCGGGGTGACGCGCCTGGGGAGCGGAGCCTCTCGGAAGGCTCGGAAGGCCTCCGGCCATCCGAGAGGCTTGCTGGGCCTCGCCCGAAAGCACAGCCCGCTTCGGAGATGGCCGGAAGGCTTCCGAGAAGCCCCGCCTTCTCCCCTCGGTGCGCCGCCGAGCCTGCCGAACGGCGAGGGCAGGATGCGGACGGAGCGGGCGCGTGTGCGAGCAAGCTCGGGTAGAGGTAGGAGTAAGATCACGATGCGCACAAACACAACACAACACAACACAACACAACACAGCACGACACGACACGACACGACACGAAACAACACAACACAACACAACACAGCACAACCAACACAAGCACAACCACAAACAACACAACACAAAACACACACACACACACAGCAAGACAAACCACAAACACACACAACAGCACACACAGAGAAAAACATGACACACACACAACAGAGTACACAACACAATACACACACACACCGATTCTGGCCAGGCCCACCTGGTAGTTGCACGAACAAGTCCTGGGGTCAGGATGGGCCTCGCCAGGATCGGTATGTGCATAGTTCATTTCGCCCGATGAGGGGACGGGGTGTTCGCTACCGCCCTCGGCCGATAGCCACGACCACGATCTTATGGTTTGGCAAGGACTCTCAAGGTCGAGCTGTCCGCTCTCGCGGCTCCCGGCGAAGTGTGGCCAGGACTGGCTCCACGTGTCAGGGCCCCCACAGCTGCAGGCAACGCGATCGGACTTCCCAGGGCAGCGATCGGCCCATCGGGGCAAGATGGTGGACCTCGGCAGAGGAGGCGATCGGATGTGCCGGGGCAGCGGTCGGCCCCATCGAGGCAGGATGGCGACCCCGAGCCGCAGATAAGCGCGGCGCGGACTTCGGCGGCGCCGAGGTGTCCCCTCTTCGTTTGCCCGCCTGTCGGGGATGGACAGACCCCCCTTTAGTAAAACGTGGTTTAGTGAAAACGACCTGAGGCCCAAACCTTGCGGGCGCAAGCCTGGAAAATAACGGCCACGGCGCCCTCTCGAGAACCGAAAACGGACAATTCACTAATCGACGTGTCACTGTTGGGGGTTCTGTCCGCCCCCGAGCCTGGCTCACATTCAGCGCCAGCAGCGACGGCCGCCGCTCTGGTGGCGTGGCGCGCTCCAGGCCCAGCGCGAAGCCCTTGATCGATGCCAGGTCCAGCGGGCCCGCGCCGTCGCGCGCGAGCCTGAGCTCGAGGGTGCAGCCCTGCCGAGGGATCGGTTGTTGCCAGCCCGCAGTTAGGCATGCTGTGGAGAGACAGTGGCTCCCCGACAAGACTACAGTCGGGGCGTTGACCTAGGGAACCCTAAATAAGGAACGAGGCCCCTTTTTTTCCATGAGTTAACCTTCGATTTCCTGTCGAAAACGTAAGGAAAGCCTGAGGCAAGCTGTGCAACACTTAAGGAACGCGGAGCCCCTCCCCAACGAAAAGGGTTCTCCAGATTTCGTAATAAAAGGGAGGGGGTCTGGACCCTCCGAGACAAGCCATTTCAGACCTCCCCCGTGGGAGAACCCTCCAACACATCGTCCCCAGACCCCCCCAGGCCCTCCAACATAGCCTGGAGGAGACCCCCCCCCCCGAAATGAGACCCCCCTCCCTTTATTACGAAATCTGGAGTTCCTTCTTCAGGGCCCCGACTGTAGATCAGTCGGCGCTCACGCGGGAGGAAATCCGAGAGGACGCAGTGCTCTTCGGGAGGGGCAGGAGGCCGCGGGAGCACGGGGGGCACACACGGGTACGGTCGGGGCGTTGACCTAAGGAACGAAACATAAGGAACGAGGCCCCGTTTTCCCATACATCAAACTCCGAAATTTCCATGGAAAACCTCAGGCAAACCCAAGGAGCACTGTAAAGCAACTAAGGAACACGGAGCCCCTCCCCAACAAAAAGGGTTCCTTCTTCAGGGCCCCGACTGTGCTCGGAGGAAGTGCCCCCGATCTTGAAGGGCCGACCCATGTAATGATGCGTGCAGGCTGCGGCCTGCCACCCATGAGTCAATTCGATAACACCCGAGCTCCGAAGACGTCACCGCTCGCGCACGCTCCCGCACGCTCCCGCTCCACTTGCCCCCATCCTCCTCAGCCTCGTCCTCGCTTGCGTCCGCCCTCTTCCTCCTGCCTCCTGCCTCCTCCCTCTTCTCTACTCCCTTCTCCCTGCGCCTGGCTCCCTATGTACTCTCTGTCTGCCTGTCTGTCTGTCTGTCTGTCTGCCTATCTGTCTGTCTGTCTGTCTGTCTGTCTGTCTGTCTGTCTGTCTGTCTGTCTGTCTCTCTCTCTCTCTCTCTCGCTCATCGACCCTGATCCTCTGCCCCTCGTCCTCCTCAGCGGTGTCCTCCTCCTCCTCCTCTGCTCCTCCTTTTTGTTCTCTTCCTTTGTGTCTTTGTCCCTCGTCGGGGGCCCGAGGCTGCGCGCAATTCATCGGCTCCCCGGGGGCGCCCTCCCGGCTGCGTGCCAGACATGGGGGCTGCCCCTAAAGGGGCAACGCGGCCATGTCCCAGAGCAGGAGGCCGCCCGCAAGGCAGGCTGCCAAGCGAGCTCCGCCACTCGGAGCTCCAAGCAGGCGAGGCTTCGACGTGTCGCGAGCGAGCCATCGAGTAGGCGCCCGAACTCCCCGAGCCCGATGCCGATCCCGCTCCTCTTCCATGTTTGAACCCCCCTCCTGCTCCTGCTCCAGCTCCTCCTGCTCCTCTCCACCCCTCCAGCTCCTCCTGCTGCTTCTCCCCTGATGTTCCTCCTCCTCCCCCAGTCTCCCCTCGGGCCCACACTCACGTGTCGATCGGTTCGGGACGCACGCGGCGCTGGTAACAGGAATGCGATGCGTGCGGGTCGCGCGACAATGCGGAGAGATGCGATGCTGGCGGGTTGCGCAAGGGTGCTGTGTCCGACGAGGACCTTCAAGCACCGCTGCAAAAGGAGGCGAACCCTTCGCTCTGCGCTCCTTAACCAGGGGCCAACCAACCATCAAACCTGTGTAAACCGCCAATATCTGTTTTCCATCTCCCTTCTGGCTTCTCGCACCGCGTTCCTCGCTACATCTTCCTTCCAGTGTGTTCTTCCCTCTCCCGCCATTGTCCAATTTTCCTCCTCGCTTTCCTCTCGTCTTATCCTTCGCCTCCGCCCCGTGGGGGACTCCCCCCCCCACCCCTGCCCATTGGAAATATCCCGACAAACCAATCGCCCTCAGAGAACACCACCAACGGCGGCAAATGTGCCCGCACGCCCCCCCCCCCCCCCTTCCGACCGATAAGGCGCCCTCGCCGGGCGTGTTTGGACGCAAAGGGATCCTGGGGGATTTCTTGAACCCCTGAACCTTCCAAGACCCGCTGCAGCTGAGACCCGTGCGCGCGCGGAACTGCTTTTGCGTGTCCGCGGTCTCTGTTAACATGGCGAATGCCAACAAGGCCAACCTTGTACTTGATTCACGTGTCTCGAAATCGACCAGATCGGGCATTGCCCCTTCGCAATAGCCTAGGGGGCTGTCTAGCTTCTTCCCGCCCTAGGAGGCAATGAACATGTTAGATGCTGCGGGAACCCCTGAACGGAAGTGTAGGGGAATGTCGGCTTTATGCCACATCATCCTGGTCGCCGCCCTTCATGCTCGTGGTGAAGATCCACACCGTGC